CCATAGGTGCGTGATATTGCGTAGAGGGTGTGATTTTCATTCTTAGCTTGTGAGTGAGAGGTAAGGAAAAGGCACAAGAAATCTAGAAGGGTGAAGATGCAGAAAGCCTTCTTCTGTTAAAGCCTCATACATACTCTCCACCGTTGTAAGAACGAGAGGAATCATGAGCTTATCCTTGTGTGATCCATGTCATGGAAATGCAACACGATCGTGAATTCGTAATGGACGGCTGAAGTATGCAGAACCTGGTAAATTATATCTTAGCAATTTCTTAACAACGTCTCAAATGCTCATGGGTATTGAATTAGCAAGTCAAAACAAAGTTTCGGGATTGAAGAGATTGAAGAGTACCATGAAGTTGCTTTTGTTGGTATGCTGGGTAGGCATGTATAAAAATGTTTCCCCAGACTTTCGGAGGTATGGAGATTTTGTCTACTCCAGAATATCAGAACTCCAGAGCTTGATTGTTGGTGTTGGGCTTGGTGAAGAATGGTTGTAGTGTTCTGTTCGTGTATAGTTTCCATAGCCGAACAGCTCTGTCTGTACTTACCGAGTTAACTTGAGTAACTGGTAGTACCATCAACATGTCAAGCTATCTAATCCGATCAATTCATTCCAATCAAAACTATCTTGGCACTGCAGGACCTAGAATTGATGGAATATGCCGCTCGCCGAGGCTGAGGGTATGCAATTCTTTAAGTCTGGGTCACAAAGGGGAGTTCGCGGGTGTGGGTGGACTGTTAGCGCATTTTATCCCAATCAATGAACAGCTGGGTTGGAAAGTACTAGGTAGTCACTACCTACGTTATATTACATCTGGATATACCTGCACAGTTCGGATAGTATTAACACTTTGGTTGGTTTCGCTAGGGAAAGAGTTTTGGGTTGAACATATTGACATATCGTCCCGTCCATTCATTTGCGACCAGAGAATAAGAAAGCTGGGGAAACAAGGGTAAATTCATTCTCGATTGTATTTCCAACAAGGCCTCACAGCATCTGGACTTCTTTCCCAAGTCCCACTAGGTATATTATTCGATCAAAAAGACAAGGTGTTGCCATGTTTCCTTGAGGATGGTGGCGGCGTATACCCTCACATATGTCTAACGTCTTCAACCCTTATTTGCATTGCATGGCATTGCATCCATGGTTAGCATGACATAGGGTATGTATATTTGACGATTAATATCATTTTGCCGGCTTCCGAGTGGATATCGAGCTTGTTTTCCAAGGGAGATCCAACGAATATGAGGTGAGTATTGAAAGTTTGGGGTGGCAATGGGAAGAACGAGTATGGGCGTTCGTTTATAGAAAATTTTGCCGTTCCGCAACATGGTTTCGAGATTGATGTTTCCATAGAAATCAATGGAAAACATGATATGATCATAATCAAGATCGAAATCAACGGATGAGAAAGTTGAATATCCAAGAACTTTCCCTGAACCTTTATCATCATACCGGTACGTAAGGTACGCACACTCTCAAAATAGGTCTAGATGAAGAGGAATACGGCAAACTCTACCCACGCAGCTGGACAGCTAGTTCCTGTGATACCGTCCTCAATATCTTTAAAGCATCATTTTGATATCTTATCGTTGTTGGACAAACAAGCTTGGATCACTTCATGGTCTTTTGATGATATAGGATAGGCTTTTGATATGTACCCGTCCGGGGTCTGGAGAAGCACGAGTTGAATATGTAGGGATGATTGTGGAGATGACGGATCATTGATCGTGTTTCGAAGTAAAATATACGGATCGGTAGATTTTCACAGCCTTTTGGTGTATCGTATCGTTGGCTCATTGATATTGAGGTGTACAAATAATTGAAATAGATGAAGCTATATTCGACTTGTTCAAGGCGATGCACCCGTGTGCCCTCAATTGGGAAAAGTAGAAGTAGAAGCGGAATTAGTACAGGCTTATTGCGAGTGGTACGAGGCATTTTTAATTTCTGCACAGTGGTTTTTCATCAGCATTTGTGGATTAGGGGCGGACCTCTCGGTTAAGAGCGGCGAGGTGTAATGATGGATGGTGGGGCCTCAGAAAGAACTCAAAACGCACCCGGCACAGTAATGAAATGTAAGTAAAGTTCTGGATATGCTCTTTTTTGCTTCCGGAGATTCCAGCTCTTGTTTCTGTCATATGTCGTACGATGCAGGAAGTGCTTTGAAGTTGGGTTTAGCTTGCAACTGGATGTCATAATCTAACGGCCCGGTTCACTGATTGATAGATAACCCGATATGTGCGGTACGTACTATCTAGGCATTCCGAAACATTCTGGACCATGAAATCTGGATTCTTTTACGTAGCTATCTAGATACGATGGTACATGCTACTGCGGATAGGGTCGATAATTATGGACTAGCTGTCGTGCTACATGCAGCAGTTTGATGGTTGAGAGCCGAGAGCTAATCTGCTTCTTTACCAAGGCTTAAAACTTTCGAGGGAGGTTAATGGTTAGGAAGAACCAAATTGCTATTCATCGTGACCCAATTTTTACCATTGCTATTGATCATATACGAATCGCCGGAGTTTAATGTTTGGCGTTTGTGTGAGTTCAGATGCGATAGAATGAGTCTGAGGCGAACAACTCCCTGGACAATCGAACTAGATGCATAAATTTTGAGGGTGAGCAGGATAAATATTGAACGTTTTCATCATCATGCTTCGGCCAAATTGCCGAATTCGTTTACCATCTCCCACCCTTTCCTTTGTGCTTGTGATGCCTCTACATGATGACGGCGGTGAAAATGTTATGAATCATTTAGAAATGCTTGGAAAAGTTTGATGACGAATGAGGGAAAGAATTCTTTGTATACCAAGTGACTGTGCAGTAACTTGTTAGAGGATTTGCCTAGGTGCCTGACAGAATCTGCTGTAGCTATATGGCACAGATGTAGAGCTTCAATACTTTGATCTATTGCAGAGAAGCTCTCCTTGAATCGCTTGGTGCTCATGTGCTTTGATGAGGCGATATGAAATACTTCTATTCCTTCCCAAAGACCCAAATTCTTCAAAGGAAAGTCTATCTATGATGTATTATGAATGTATGAATTTGTAATCCAGGAGATTTACTAACACTTCCAAACCTATGAGGGTAGCATGAATTCATCAGCCCATTCATCCATTCATTCCTTCGTTCATTCTTGTCATAATCAATCAAGTTAGCCAACCATTCAACTCAATAGATGCTCGATTAATAAAGAAGTCATTAATGACTAATAATCCTATTGGACAATATCGAATAGTAGGTCATTTTGAGTCTCTCTGATGTATTAGCTATCTATCTACTTCAACTGTTGTCTGCATCGTGATCAATGATACTTATTAGTACCAATATCTCATCTGTCCTCTGGATATTCTTCCCAACTACTTCCCCTTTCTACTCAAATATCAATTGAAGAAAGCAATCGAGGTATCTACCTACCTACCTACCTACCTAGGTAATAGGGATCTAATTCACCAATTGTCCCTATTGTGGATTGATTAGTTTTCCTCTGCTCTCATCAATCTCTAGGAATCAACATCACATTGAACCTCTTTCTGATAGTTCTTCGAAACATTCATTCACTTATATCAGAACTCCATAACTCCAGAACTCATGAACTCTCTTTTTATTTTTAAAACAGCAAGAAATCATTAATCCACTAGGTAATTGGTTAAACCATCTCCGTCTCCACCAAGAGATCCATTCACCACCCCATCATCCTGTACCTGGTAGACAAAAGCCGTCTCATTTTATGTGGATGTGACCAATGACTGCTCTTGAATATATTAATATATACTCAATCAATCTACATTATTGGTCATATAGGAAAGGTCCCAAGTCAAGGTCAAGGTCAGTATCATTCACCATCCTGTTCCTAGTTCTCCACCAAAAGAACTCTCATATATTTTCCCTGTCATAACGGGGCAAAGACAAGAATAACATATCGATACGGCTTATCCAAAACCATCTCGCCGTTTCTGAAGATATCTACGACTTTAGAAACAAATGCTCAATTGACTACCTTTTTTCCCTCCTCCTCTCTCTCTCTTTCTCAACAAATATTCAATATTAGTTCAATGGAAACAAGATTTAGTAGACAATTCACTGATCTCTTATCTGGTTTTAGTTTTATAGATAATAAGTTAGAAGAGGAAGACAATAGTTTAGTTGGTACAGTTAGCATTCTAGCATTCTAGCATTCTAGCATTCCCTCCGCACAGAGCGCGCACAGAAGATATTCTCTACTAGTACCATCTACCTACCACCTACTACCACCTACCTAGGTATTAGAACCTCACAGACCTCGCAGCCTTTCCCCGGATCTCAACTACCTACCTACCTACTACACGACATCCCATCCCATCCTACATCCATTTCACTCCAAAGCACAACAACCACAGACCACACAACTACAATCATTTTAATCACCGTTTGTTTGTATTCGGATACATAGTTGGGTACTTGACTACAGCATTTCTTATTTCTCATCGGACTTTGGAATATTCAAACGATTCTTGCCGGAAACCCAATAATACTTCATATTCCCTACCATCGAATTCTAAGTTCCAAGAAATATACCAACCTACCTACCTACCTACATACATACAGCCGGGAAAAGGCCTGCAGATATTCACTCCATTTACTGGTCAAAGGAAGAATTACCTACACCAACTCTTCATTTACTGGTCTGCAGAAACGAGAAAGCAGTGAAGGGTCGGGTCGGCTAAAGATTACAACGGCCGAAGGTTGCAACAACGGAAAAAGGCTTGGGCGCTTTTATTGCGGCATCGCTGCATCAAGAACTGCAAGTCCCCAGTAAAGAGCCCGCCAGGTTTCGATTTATTGGGAAAGTCCGTAAGTCTGAACGTCCATTCATCGTACCTTTGCCACGAACGATCACTCTCCACACACTGGAACGAATGGAATATTGAACAGTCTCTAGCATGTACAAACCTTCGTAGGAAGTCATTCTCATATATCTTAGCCTCGTCTTGGTGCCTTCCTCAATGATGGGGGATAATTCAGCAATCAAACAAGAGCAATCGCCCAACATGTCTGAGACGACGTCATCTAACGGCGCTGAATCAAATGGTGGGATGAATGGTGAGGAGAATAGTAAGTAGCAATCATATCTCAAATACAACTCGGTCATAAATCACCCGTTCAATCAAAGATATCACTTCTGTCTTCTTCCTGGAGAGGCTTTAATTGACTTTTTACATTAGCCGTAGCATCGACAGCATCTGCAACGACGACTGCTCCCAAATCTCCTAACGGCTTTCCATCAAAAACCGACAAGCCTAAACCTCATGGTTGCAGCACATGTGGTAGACATTTCGCACGTCTGGAACATCTGAAAAGACACGAAAGATCACACACAAAAGAAAAGCCATTCGAATGCCACGAGTGCAAGAGATGCTTTGCGCGGAGTGACCTTTTGTTAAGACACCAGCAGAAGCTGCACACAAACATAACACCGCCTGCGAGACCAAGAAATCGACGAAGCAGTACTATGAGCAATGTATCCGGAGTTGGCAAACCAAATCTCAACAGGGTACGAAAGCACTCTATTGTCAATCCAGTGGGCCCGAGACCAAGGGCAAATACAATCACAAATCCAGAAAGTGCTTATATGCAAATGGCTCTGGGTCAAGATGAATCTTATGCAGTGAGGAACCAAAACCATACAATTCATCCTTCAAATCATGGCCATGGTCATAGTCGTCACGCTAGTCTCGCGAATCTACCAATGCACAACTCTGATTACAGTGGAATGCACGGGATGAGTCCGATGAGTGGAATGTCCTCTGTAATGAACAACCGCAATATGTCTCATGGGTTGCCGAGGATTGAAACACATCACTCTATGGTGCTTAATGGACTGCGGACTGCGCCGGTAGCTGGAGGATTTCAAAACCATGACTTTACCTTCTCACCAGGCTTCTCATTTCCGAATGGAAATAGTCCTAGCCCGACGATAGACCCTAGTGCCTTGTTCAATCACTCACCAGAACCAATGATCACATCAGACTCAATGATTGCACCGGATTCGATGGTCCTTGATTCCAATGACACGTCACTTTTCACTTTCCCAGACTACTCGGGAAACTCGGGTATGGATGATTCTTATGGTTTCAATGGGTTGATTAATCCTTTTAGCCAGCATATGACATTTGATGAGAATGCTATAATAGACGGTTCATCTCCTTCTGCGATCAGTACTGCCAGTCAAAGTGGGATCAGTGACGGTATTATGCTGGATGGATCCAATAATATAGCTGTAAGCTCACCATCCATGTGGCACCAACCTGTGACGGGACAACCTCTGATGACACCAAACTTTTTGGATCATGGTAACCAAAATTTTGGAAATTTCTCCAATGGGAATCCTATGTCACCGCATAGTGTGCCTCAGAATCATGCAAACTTCTCCACTGGAAACGGTATATCACCACATATTCTAGCCCAGAGTCATGATCATTTTTCAAACGGAAACCCTATTTCACCTCACAGCCTACCGCTGAATAATCTTCCATACTTTGCTACTCCACCTCCATTGAGTTCTTTGGACCATTCTGTAATGCCCGGAATGAACAACACACAAGGTTTCCAACCCCCCATGACTCTTGCCCCGGAGACCCCCAATTCCACGACCGGCAATATCCACGGAAGCTTACCTTTGTCCACAGTTACAGACTCTACCCGTTCGGCCCTTGCGAATGCCCTGGCCCATAATACATCCTTCGGTGGACGAAAGTTTTCCGTTCCTTCTGCAAGCTCGCCATCACCTCACTCACCTCGACCTCTAATCCGAGCCAGTAGTGTTAGCGAAGGCATTAGGTTTCACCTCCCCAGCACATCCGATCTCAAAAAGTATATTGGCGCTTACATACAGTACTTTCATCCACACTTACCATTTTTGCACATCCCTACACTTAACTTCGATTTTTCGACTCCTATAAATGATGCCCGAGGTGCTGCTACTTCTGTTGAAGGACCTGGATGCCTTACACTTTCAATGGCTGCTATTGGTGCATTATATGCAGGCGATCATCAACAATCGAAGATGCTATTTGAATCAGCGAAGAAAATGCTACAGCTATACATAGAGGCCCGGCGCAAAGCTGATGTTCGTAGAGCGGACCACCGTTCAAGAGCCCCAGATAATTCCACACACACACCAGTATTTCTTGCACAGGCTATGCTGTTGAACATTATCTATGGTTTCAATTCTGGCGACAAAGTAGCAGGCGAAAGTGCTCTCATTCACTGTGCTACCTTGGTTAGCCTTGCCAATGCCGTCATCAAACCAGCATCGTCTTCTCAAAGCGGATCATCACAACAGGATGGACGGATGACAAATGGCGATGATGCAATGAATGGCTTCATCAAATCCGAAAATCTAGATGATGAACAGGAGTGGCACCAGTGGAAAACCGCCGAGGAGAGGAAACGAACTTTATACGCGATCTTTATACTCTCTAGCATGCTTGTGTCGGCCATCAATCATGTTCCTTTCTTAACCAACTCTGAGATCGAGTCTGACTTACCTTGCAACGAAGAGTTCTGGTCGGCTGAATCCGCCGAAAGCTTCAATGCGCTGGGTGGTTCCAAAATGGCCAATTACAATCAAACCACGTTTAAGGCTGCTTTGGGCGAGCTACTACAAGCCGGCAATAGACAGCAATATCAGCAAGCACAAGCTCAACATTTCGGAAATGGGCACAATGTTCAAGACTTGCCCCAAAGTGATTTAAAGCCAAGTACTTTCGGATGTCTGATTCTAATCAATGCGCTGCATAATTACATTGTATGTTGATTCAACTTGTAGGTCCTCAAGTAAGAAAATACTGACAAGAGTGTAGTGGGAAACCCGACAAAGACATGTCGACAGGAGGTGGGGGACTGAGGAAACTGAAAAGATGTATCGCCACATTGAACCTGCCCTAAAAGCATGGCAATTAGCATGGCAACGCACTCGAGAGCACAGTGTGCAACGCCCCAATCCATTTGGGCTGGGGCCGCTATCGGCCGACAGTGTTCCTCTCCTCGACTTGGCATATGTTCGCCTGTTCGTGAACATGTCAGCTTCAAAAGAAATGTTCTGGAAACGTAACTTCGATGACATGGCAACCGAACTTGCCGGAGGAAAAGACACCACGCAGCATGCGGGACACTCCCCAACTCCAATACAGATTCTACGGAATTTTCAAGCGGTTCAGCTGCAAGCTCTGTGTTCGTCGATTCTCCTACGACATCAAACTCTCCTCCTGACGTTCAATCTTCTAGTGCTTTCCAAACCTCTCCCTCCAACCAACCAGAGGGCCCTTCCGATCGCGAACGTTTACTTAGAAAGGCAGCTTATTATGCAACAGATTTCCTGGTGATGTCAAATAAGTTCGGCATTACTTTTGCAGACTTTACCTCCCGGGAGCTCCCACTGCAGGCTGCCATGTGCGCATTTGATTGTGCACAAGTAGTAGCCGAATGGATAAGCTTAGTGCAGGAACGCTTAGGACGCTATATCGGAATTCTGGGTCATGCGGATGTCGATTTCAGCAGCGTGCCTGCTATTATATATCTTGAAGATGAAGATGTCAGGCTTTTGGAAAGAATTAAAGAGGTTGTCAACATCACTGAAGCAAAGATGCAACATGAACTGGCAAACAATATTCATAATCAGATAAATGCCGGTCAGACAAACGCCGTTCAGATGAATGCTGGTCAAAGATCTCCTGTTCTAGATAATTGTGGATTTGGAAGCAAGATCTTAAGATTGACTGCTTATCAGCTTGACAGAGCTGCAGTGTGGCAAGGTTTGTGTTCCTCGTCCCCGATTCAACTTTCAATGACACTAACTCAAGTCACAGTAACACGTCTCATGGCACGTGCTTTAGAGACGCAAGCTGTTCACATGCAAACACGAGCAGAACGCTCTAATAAACTAAAAGACAATCTCTTGTGATGTAAAGGTCAGGAAACGCCCTTGATCGCGCACATACAACAAAAGCAGTTTCCTATTATTGTCCTATTTTTTTCCTACCAAAAAAATGAAAAAGGCTAAGACTTGGGCAAGTCTTTTTGCTTTAATCCTGCGGTACATATGGGGATGGAAGGCTGCTTGCTGCACATACATACACACAAAATTATGGCTATGGTACATTCATTCAGAGCTTTCTAGGGGGGGGCTTCATGGGAAGACACGATACTCTATTTATGGAACAAAAGTTCCCCTTCGCATTTAATTGTGTTTCTAACGCGTGCTTGACGATACCACGCTTTGGTTACTTTTTGCTTATATTCACATTAGGTTGGATTCATATCTTCGGGAGTTTGTTTCTTTGGCTGGTTCAAATGGGTATAGGTGTTCATTTATGGGCTGGAGTGGGATTAACGGTTTCGCGTTGCATATGGGGTTGTTTAATGCAATGTCAAGGTTGCTTCAATGATATGACGGAATGCTTGATGATGTTGATGATTCGAATGGAGAGGACGATTATCTTGTTTTTTTTTCGAGTTCAGCAGTTGATACATTATGAGATGCACATAATGGATGGCTTTGAGTGTGGGATGGAGGCGTTTTCTTGAGCAGTGCTTGCGAAGGTTGAGCATAGGCGGGGTTTTGGCTGGGGTGCATGAAGTGGTGAGGGGATATTTGAAGAGAGCTTGGGGCAGGAGCAAAAGGCAAATGCAGAGATTAAAAAGTGCAAAACATGGCAGGCGAGGTTTGTTTTCGGATGAATGATAGGTGGTTGATATGGGAATGACGTTTAATCGGCATGGTATTGAATGAAAGGAAGAAAATTGGTGGGCTTTGAATTGGGATGGATGGATGGAATTGGGACAAAGGATCGGCTTCGGGATACTAAGGATACCTACCAGACTATCTAGGCTGAGGTAAATGGCAACGTAAGATAAAATGCATGATGCAAATAAAAATTATTAAATAAACTTGGATGATTGCGAAAAACTGTGAAATATGGCGAAGATGGTGAGGATGAAATCTCAACCAGTAGCGCTTTTGATAGTTGAGATGAGACTTGTATTGAATTGTAAAGGAAGGACCGAAAGGGGAGAAGAGGTTCAGTAATTTAAAATAAGAAGGTGGATGAATTGATGAATTTTGAAGATTCGTGAGTGATAATAAGAGGAGATGAAGTTGAAGAAGCGTAAGAGAGGGATTGAGTAGGAGAGGAGAGCACATTATCGGGTATGTAGGTAGGGATGTACAAAAGTAGACATGACTCTCATTCTATCATCTAGCTCATCTTCAACTGATCAACTTGAAAGTTGAAGCTTGACAGCCTGACTTCTGGTAGAAACGGAATGTCAAATATCAACTATAAGAATAGTATGATGGATTGATAAATTGATAAATTGATCTGGTGCATGTATGTATGTATGTATCTTATCTCTCCTTTTTTAACTTTTATCGGTTCCTCTATAACATCATTCTCTCGGCATACGTTCTCCTGCTGGGTTGTGAGATATGAGGGGGCGGGTTGATCTAGCATGTAAAAGAAAGATAGAAGATAGATACCTCCCAATCGCATCGCCATCGCCATCACCATCACCATCAAGCCCAAGCCCAAGCAAGTATCCTCTGCCCATCCATATTAGCTGTACATATATTCATCTGTAGGGAAGCGAGCGGATGGTCAGTCATGTCGAGACGAATCAGGTAAATCATAACTTGGCTTCCCTTGCTCATTCTTTTCTTCTCCTTCACACTGCAGGTCATAGATCCGGGGTGACGCAAGAGTAAGGTATAGAAGAGTAACTTGTAATATACATGTGCACATATCATACATATGAAAGATACACGGTACTGGCTCTTGAGATCATTTTGATTGCAAATACTATTTTATCAATACTAAATTGCGAAGAAGGGAAGTCAAGATTAAGGAACCTGCATGAATCAACTTCCCTCTCTAGTTCTTTATCCACATTCTGAAAGTGGCGTCTAGATCGGTCCACCTCGACCTAAACAGTTGAAACCCTATCAGCTAAGAAAGTGTCATGTTCTCTGCAGACGAGTGCACCGCCCTAGAAGTCACTTTATTACGTTCGTTTCATTACGGAATTTCTTAGCACACTATCTCACAGTTAGAGATCTGGAGTTGTGATCGTGGAGGCTCTTGTATTTTTTCTTTTAAAACCCAACAAACAATTATTGCATCACCAAGCCCTGTTAAAGATTTGTAATTAAACCCACGGGTATAGCAATCATTCATCCGTTGCGCAACCATCAGATTGTTCTCGGCTATCAAAAAATTCCGACAAAAGAATGAAGCTGAGAGAAGCTAGAGGTGAAGAGAGCCTATGTGGAACAAAGCAGATGGGTGCACGCCAGTAGGTACCAAATCAGCACATATTGATGTGCGTAAGATTGCTGGAAATTAATCCACGTGCCCGTGAAGTCGAAAAAACTACTTCCATTCTTGGTGCTTTCTCTCTCTGTCTTGCTGCCATTGACAGGTTGTCGGAATCTGCACCCTACACAGAGATCGACTTGGTCGGGAAAAAAAGGAGCAAAAAAATTGAAAATGGACCGGCCTACATAAATCTGTAATAAAAAATAGTAACAATTTGAGGGGTTTGGCAATACTCGTTTGACGTATACCCTTGATCAAGGACCAATGTATCTTGAATCTTGCTCAAGGGTATTAACCTCGCAAAGTCTGGTTGGGGAATGTAGCATTGTGTAAAGATATAATGCTGACAAAGCAGGAAGAATTCCATGGCTAAATATTCGTGAAGAATACGGTGTAACTGACTGGGAATATCGAAATGGCTTACAAGCATAAGCCCTTCTTACCAATTATCATATTCATGAAGAACTTTCCTAACCCGCCACAATCCGGGAGCTATGCATTGAATGCATTCAAATCCATATGGAGAACGGAAACTGCTCAACGCTCGTCACCCCAGCATTAAACCAAAAATATGCTGCACGAGATGATTATTGTACATCTCAGCCCCACTCTTGAAGCACACGCTCATTCCGCCATATTCGACGCTCGAGACGGGGAATATGGAGGACAATTTTGATGCTAGAGATTGCTTTGAATAGGGTTGAGCTTTTGGTCGTTGTACTAGGGCACGTGGTCATTAATATTGGGCATCAATCCAAAACTTTACATCACAGCACTCCTATTGGTTTTGGTACCCATGGCCCTTCCCAGCGCGACCAGCCTTTCTCCGTACTGTTCGCAGAAGATTTGTCGTCTTTAGGTGTTTGTATGGATGCAGCGGCAGTGTCTAAATCGTGTTCCATTTTCACCATTCCCGCTCGGATATCGTTAAGATCTTGGGCGGTTGTATTGGGAACAGTTATGCAGTTCCTTTTGGGAGATTTGGATTCTTCCCAATCAGATATCTTTTGTCGGAAATTGTGCGCTTGTAATATCGTCATTGGGTCTTCTAGAGTTTCTTCCAGTTCACCCAGCGCACGAAGAAGTTCGTCTATCCCGTAGGCTTCAAGTCGATCCTTTATCATATTCAGATTGATTCCTTGGCCATTTTGCTCTAGAACCTCTCGTACGAATATCTTGCAATCATCATCCTTTTCATCGATTGATAAATCTGCCCAGTAAAAATCCCAAATCCACTTCAATGCTTTGCGCGCAGCTATTCGAAGTTTAGGAAGTGATGGGAGTTCTTCATGAGTAGCCTGATGCCGAAGTTCGACGTATGTAGCTGGTAGACCAATAGTTTTCGCAATTGAGTACATACTTAATTTGCGACGTTTATCTTGATGACTATCGAGGAGACCCGTAACGAAACTAATGACCAAGCATAAAATGAATAAGTCGGATATCACAAGAGAATAGATTATGAGAAGACTTCAACGTACCGACAGAAAGCAGCAGAATAAGCAGCTCTCACGCAATAGGATGAATTTCCAGGAACATCGTTTAAAATAGCTGAAGTGATAATCGCAGAGGACTCCACGAGATGCGGACAATTTCCTCGTTGCATCCATACGGATATGAGGCATACGGCTTGTCGACGATAAGAATCATTAGGAGGGCTTGTCTCGGTATTTTGGTAAAGCTTTTCGCGCACTTGGAGAAGCTCGCGGCGCGTTCGCCAAGGCGTAATTACGAATTGAACCATAGTTTGTTCGTATTTAGAAACTAGGTGGAGAAGGACGATGTTTGGGAGGAATACGTCGGAGAAGGGTGGAGTCGTTGTGTTGACTTGCGATTGTATGAGAAATGTTTGAAGTTTATCCAAAATATTAATCAGAGCGGAATTGCTTGAGAAGATGCCTCAGGATCTCAAGGAAAAGTCTTAAGGCTGCTATCCCCTTGTGATTTGAAAGCCGAAGTTTTAGCGTTGAGACTAATAGTTATTAATAAGCTTACAACACCAATTGAAGTGATAGCACGTGTATTGATGAATATTCAAGTATTCACCAGCACTATTTAATGAGGATCAAAGAATCTTATCTTGTCTGTTCAATCCGAAAATTCATTCGGGGGTATTGATATTGTGTAAAGCTATCTATATACATATACATATCAACCTCTTGGGTAGGTACTTCACCTGTTGATATTGTTGAATACAAGTGCCCAACAGGAATTTGTCATATCCCATCCCAATATTGAGCCTGTGCTCATTCCAGTCATTGCTGACATGATCCTATAGTTTCCAATGCTCCAATGTAGCTAATCCCAATACCCAATCCAATCCAACTCCATCGCTAAATTTCAAAGTCATAAAGTTTTTCCCATCCAAAGTTCCATGCTCCTTTCGATCAGATCCAGCCTGCATAATTCATTGCGTAACTTCCGTCGAAGTCAGGGAAGGGCTGTGTGGTGCCCATCATATAAGTGGTAGTGTCAACCAGTTGTGTAGGTTTCTCGGCTACAACTTCCTCCTCTTCTTCATCTTCCCCTTCACCATCCTCCTCGTCATCTTTGTCGTCGTCCTTTTCAGCGGGTGGTTGCCATGTCTCCTCCAGCTTCAAGCCTTTACCAGCTCCTTCGGGTCGACGATAACTGTTGCCTAGAAGCTGTGACGACATCATTCGGTAGTTGTCAAGTTGAGGATCTGACAATGACATCTTGCTATTGTCTGGAGTATCGTACAATCCCATGCCAATCAACTCCTCACCCTCTGGTTCATCATCAGACAGTGGGTGATATGGTATCGATTCCTCTGGAGTGAAGGTGGGTTCAGGATGTTGAATAGGTAGAAAGTTATCTGGTGTGGGTGGGGCGGTACCATCCTCGAATCCATTTGTGGCAAAGTTGTTCCAATCAAAATGTGAATACATCGTTGGATCTTGGTTGTCGTTTGTGTATGGAGCCTGAACAGACATCACATGATTTTCTAATGGTGTAAGCTCTGGGGTGTATGCCTGGTCGAGTGGGTATGAGGTAGGTACGGTATCGAATGGGTATGAGTCTTGATGATCTTCTGTGTAAGGCATTGATACAGGAGAAAAGCTGGAGTCTGGTGATCCGTATCCTGAGTAGACAGCTGGTGTTGAGGCATCAAAGTTGTAATACTCCTGGGAATATGGGTATCCATTGGTAGATTGTACTGGTTGGTACATCTGTTGTTGTGTGGATGGATGCCAACTAACAGGACGATTAGATTTCATTGACATCTGTGTTGGAAGTCCATTGTTCGATTCCCATTCGTTAGTCGCCATCATTTGTTGCTGTTGCTGTTGTTGATTGAGCATCATCATCTGTCGTTGGTATGAGCCATCCGACATGAGAGTCCTACGTCGGTTTTGCTTGATGGAGCATCGTGGGCTATTGTTGGTACTGTTTGGTTTGATAACTCGCATTGGTCCCATATTTCTCTGTCCATTCGACAAAGATAATCGATTTCGAGACTGTGAAGGTTGTGCCATTTGCCTCGAAACGTTTTCCAGAAACATCTGAACATTGTTATCATAACCCATCATGTTCGTTCCGTATGCTGAAGTAGCATAAGCTGAATCCATTTTGTGATATCGTATAAGAGAGAAGGTAGTATGAAAGAGAATGTTTGCAAGTTGAGGAGGGGTTGGTGGAGGTGTATAAGGTAGTATATGAACTAACGTCAACTGGACGTTAGTAGTCGAAATTTCATAGCCTTGATATGAATCGAACTAGAGAATACTAAACTTAAATTAAGAAAGGAATCTACCCAATCTTCCATGTGAGGATTAAATATCGGCAGTACAAATTTGAAAGACCAATATGCAAGTGACTTACCGTAAGGTTGCGGTATGTCGTCTGTGTCATCTGGCTGATCCACGAATGTGTAAGGATTAAATCATAGGGAATTTACCGGGTCTGAGCTTCTTCTGGGGATGCTAGACACCAGGGCTTTGTTGGCGGTCAAAAGTCAAAGCCCCTGGCTTGCAACATGCGCAGATTCGAAAAGCCAGCGGTACAAAGGAAGACAAGGGGGTAAGCTACATCCCGCGGCTGGATACATATCGCGTACGAGGCTCCTTCGCCCCAGGTGTGTGGGAATCAAAAGGGTGCGTGTCAAACGATGAATCAACTTCCTAAACAGGAGAAACTTGCTTTGCGAGGAAGAAGGGCGAGAAAAGGCGGTCAGGTTGTATCAGCACAAGGGTGGGATGAATTTCCATTTTTCAGGGGTGTATATATCAAGTAGCCGACGGGGTCCAAAAATGCCAGATGCCACTCTTCTTGATGTGCTTTGCATGGGTGCGATGAACCTCTAGCATAATTAGTATATCAATCTAAGCCAAATATGTGGCCTTCCCGTACTGACGCAGCGCCTTTGGAAATTTTTAGATGTGGATATTTTCGATACTGTCGTTAGTGCACATGTTAAATTGTGGAATTTAGTCAAATTCTCGGCCCCATCGATGGTCCATCACAAAACGTGGGTAAGCTGGGCAAGCATTTCAATGGCTCAACCTAAACTCCGTTCTCCGTACATGAAGAACCCCTCGGTCATTTAGTTTATGAGGAGGGTCATTCCATTGGGAAGCCTCGAAGGTTCACTGGTACTAATCTTGTGCTAACCAACTATTAAAAAGACGGCCCAGGTAATAGTAGCCTAATTAAGAGTACGAATTGCAGGTCAATACGATTAGGTAGAACCGCACAGGACTGGCAAAGCAGCACAATAGTACGAACAAATGAAATGCAGTGCTACCGACCGACTGCAATGTATCTAGACCTGGCATGGTCATGATACTTAGGTAGGTATCATGAAGCATCTAAGTGGCAAACGCGACTCATTCTACATACCCCATATTGTATCTAATACATACACACTACAAATTGAATCTTGGCTAATAGGACTTTCCGAGCTCACCGCGTATTAATTTTTCTTTCTCAAGATGTGTATGGCATGAGCAATCAAATGAGCGAGCATATGGTCAAACAATTCTGTCAGATACTCCATATATTAAAATTCTGATGAAATGCAGATGGGGTAACGCACATTATTCTTTTTGCCTTATTGTATAACACACACGCTTTGTACGCTATATTCGAAATTGGGAAAGAAGGCGAGACTTTTGACGGCGGAGAGAGTGGGGCAGCGGTAACGCGAGTAGCAGCAGCTAACTAAACTTATTTTGAGTACAGTCATAATTTGGGAATGGGATGATGCAGAAATAAATCACCGACCGTTCAACATCCTTGAGATCCAGGTTTGCGTAGAAAAACTTCACATGTATTAGTCTATACTAAGGCTCGCTAAGCAAGGATGATGGAGTTGATGTGGATGCCGATGGATCTTGCTAGGGGATTGCGAACAATCCATGAACCAGCCACCATAAAAGAAAAAGTGCTAATTACGAAACATCCAATGATATGCATCTATCAGCATCGAAAAAGCCTCTTTCTGAAACTATGAGCCACAGTTCCATTAGTGTGATAAGTAAGAAAACTTAAAAAGACTCGGATGGAACCACTTAAGAAACGAAATGATAATTTCAGGTGCGTCAAGAATTGTCAATCGTTATCCCATCGTCACAAAAGCATGATGATCTCAAAATATTGGTCATTGCCATTCTTGTTAGACGGCGTTTCTAAGTTTGAGACCAAGGCGCCCAAATTATAGATGTGTGTGTGGAAATATATGCTAAATCACAGCGGTAGATTTTCTCTGATATCACTTTTCCATGATCCATGGACTTCACGGGCTTATGGTTATCACATAATGCAAATGCACTATGCATATCGAGGCCTAATCAGCAGCCAGAAGGCAAAGCAATCATTAATGCGCAGATTCAGCAACTTCATTGATTGAGCATGAACCCGCGGCGAGGTACAAGCAAGACGCACAAGTACAAATTGCATGCATGTGCAATAATAACTAAGACCGGCATGTAGTAAGCAGATCATCCATAATAATGAGAAGTAAAAACGTCTTAGACCCATGTTGGCGTGCATTGGTCGGAAGCAGTCTCGATGAGGTTTTGTTTGGTCATCGAAGGCCCTAAGAAGGGCGCTTGAATTCCAAGGTTGTGTTTGTTTGTCTCAATCGCCCCTTACCCCCTCGTTACAACCTGTCCGTGCTTCTAGGATTCTTCAAAATGAAGCTGCCAAGCGTTGAATTATTCGATACGTTCCCTACCTTCACGGAGCTTATATCGATTCGAAATACACTAAACACTAAATATGTTTCGCAAGGGGCATGACATTGAAAAAGCAAAGCATAATAATGCTACAACATCCAGGCGGTGAAACTGATTAGGCGTTAATATGGCATGTATAATAGCCATCCAAGTAATTGATTGCTTTTACCGTATCAAACCACAATTCACGATGATCTATTTGTTCATTAGACAACACGCACGGAAATGGCGGCGAGAAGATAGTGCTTGCTACCTACCTAGCTTTCAACCTCAACCTACATCGATACCCTCCCTCATGTGGGGAGTCAACAAATCAACAATTAGATAAAAATTTCTCTTGAATATTTTTCCTTTCGAGCTTTAAGCCAAAAGGGGTCATAACCGGAAATTCTTTGTCTAGTGTATCGTACACTGTGTATGCTTGTACAACCACCCCGCAATAATCCCAGCTCACCAGTATATGAGCCGGGCCCTTGGAAACTTGTACTATTGCGAGAAAAAGGCTAGTACGAAATGAATCAGTATTATCTTGTCTGCAGCATCTATAGTGCTAAGCCAAATGACGCGTAAAACGACAAAAATTCATGATGATGCCGATGACTTTATTCGATAGGAGACTATTTCATTAGTCGCTAAAGTAGATCTCACCCATGTGTCACTTTCTTCTAATTCCCACAGTTTCCCCTTGCTTTTCCCCTCTATTGTCGATCGTGTTTCTCTTACCCGTGCCACGAATTTCATATCCATATCTCCAAGGATGAAGATATTTGGAGATGACAGAATCTAGGATCTAGAAGTTTAGAACGGACCATTCTTGCGCAAGCAAGGGTCTGCTTACTTTACCACACTTTTTTTTTGGGATCTTAAACGCTCGAGACATCATCATAGCACATTGTGTGTGTATCCCATGCCGCATCCCTCGCTTCGCTCCGAATAGCGATTCAGCAAGAGAGATATGCCCGTCAGAAAAATTTGCATCCCGGTCGACAAGGCTGGGACTGGGACCGGCCTTCCTTTTTGGTTTTCTTACTACACCTACCTTTTCCCTGAAGAGAGGCAGCGGGTGTAAGCTCGGGTTGCTGAAAAGGAATTGAGACCCTGGCGAATTTTTGAGGGATCGCTGGATTTGCTAGTCGACCGACCATCCTCTATACTAACGCTGCCCTTCATGTAAGCTTCAATCTCAATATAGCCAGGCGAGCTAGTAATCCTTTATACTCCTTGAATGCCCAAACTAAATTCAGCATATTGACCGATATACCATCTCAAAGACCAGAACCAATAGTTGAAAGCTATATAGTTTGAATCTACGATGACTTAGTAAGACGGATGCTCTAAATGAATCAAAAACGAGCATTATTTGAGCATCATCTCACTGATCAGCCATCATAATTTGATCCGATCTATTGTGTTAGACCTGGTAGGTTTAAAAACTTTCAAACTCGTAACCCACTCTCAAGTTAATCAATTCCCGCTCTGGTCATCGCACCCTTATGCGAGCCCTTTTCGAAACCTTCAATTCCAACATACATCCATACATCTTGATCCTCGTTCGCCGTGGCCGATGGAGATGCTGCGTAACCAGTACCAGCCGATCTCTCTATTATTGCAACACCTTTGTCAATTATAGATGGTCTCGGCTTTCGCACCGTTGCAGACGCTTGCATTCTATCTCGGCCCAAACTCCTTTCGCTGGACCAGGGCGAAGCACACAGTAACAGAATGAGTAAGTTCGGAAAGTAAAACAGGGTAAGGTAAGCCAAGTTATGACTGGCTTTATTAAGTGATGTGTTTGGAACGACTCCATCGTGTTACATTGGAGAGTAAACAAGTGAGTTTATTGTGCCCACCTGATAGGCAATCTAATACAGAGATGCCGGCGCGAGTGATGGAAATTACCCTAAAGAGCTTGTGGAACCTATGGCTGATTGACGGTCGATTACACACAGAGGTCAAAGAGAAACACGATGGTGATTTGTATTTACGGTGTTCGAACCTGCGTTGAACTTTCGTATTCTCTTCTTTTGCATTGATGAAACCTAACAGTTAGATTTCGATAGCTTTTGGGTTTCTCATCTAGATTGTGCTCGGGGCGTTTTGTATAGTACTGAAGGACAAAATAGAATTCTAGTCAAATGGTTACAAGCATCGCGAGAATCATCACCACCCCAGTACTGAAGTTATCACAGCAGAACAGCGTAATCAAAATTGATTGATGTGATACAACCTCATCATGTGAAAGAAGGGCTCAGGGTTTTGTTTTGTGTTTCTGTTTATGGCGCGTGTTCCGCTCAGCACACTCAGCATGAAGTGTACGAACAGCACGGATACAAGACATTTTCAGCTCTTGATGAATCTCCATGGATACAAGTGAAATGCAAACAACGGTCGGATGGAATGCAGCACACCAGCATTGATCGGAGACGAGATTTTTGTACCTGGTATCGTAGCAATCCATAGTAGCATCTCCATATCGAGATTCATAGGTAGGTTCAAGGGTAGGATTGTGGATAAGAGGGAATACGGTACAAAAAGTAACGAATGGTATCTAGCTCGCGAGGCTAGGTGTGGAAAAGTTGGAGACCCTTGTTTTAACTTCTACGTACGCAGTAGACTAAAGTTCCGCAGTAAGTTCCGCAAGCACTCTCCGAAGTTAATTAGATGCGTGAGTTTTGTGTAGCTAAAGCGGAATATCATGGCGAGCATGGTTTGATGCTTATTTACCAACAGATCACGACGAATGAATCATGTCTCGTGGATCTACAATCATGATGAAATTGTCCATGCTATCAATAGTCGAAATCGTCAAAACCCCTTCATTACCACTCACTATTATTGGCCTATGTAATTGTCTAAAACTTTGAAAACCAACAATTATCGCAAGGATAAATTCCGGGCCCGCGTGAAACTTAATGGAACCCGGTTGTCATGATGAACCTTACTTTATTAACCAAATCTAAATCCAGGAGATCTCTCGGTGCTCATGTATTCCCCACCATTAAATATTCATGGCAAGGAACTTGAAGGAAGGGATAGAAGTATCGAAGCCTAGGAAAGAGGGAGAGGGGCAGTGACAATGCAGCAATATCGAATGAATGGATTAGTGATTGACCAATTTCGACTTTTTTTTCCCCGATGAATACCTAGATGAGAGCCATCTAAGCGTTTCGACACATGAGCCTCACGCACACAGCTGAAGCAATCCTAATCCTATACTTCGTACTCCATGGACCATAGTATGACAGAATGATGGACATTTGCTTGCTAAATTACTAGCCTATGATTTTAGTTTATCTAAAACCATTGTGTAATGATAGCCATTAATAGTTACGGTACCTACCGGTCCCACGGTAGTGTAGCGTCTGCTGTATGTGGAGGTCATATCCTGGAGGTCTCGAACTTCTTTCGGTGATACTCGAGTACGAAAGTTACGAGCCTACAAGTTGAGATGAGCACAATTTACGAACATACGTGGTAGTGGACCAACAACATCACGAGCTTGGGTGGTGGCGGAGGTTGCGGTTCGTAATTCATATCATATTCGATGAGGGGATTTCGGCTTGACAGGCTCAACAGCTTCGACAGGGAATAAGATTTCGATACTGTAATTTATAATGTGGTATTTTCACGGCAACGGCAAGGCAAGTACCATTGGATTTAGATTGATGTACACCACCACGAAAACACCAAGAACTCAGCCACACAACGTTTTGACTCATGAACTGGATTCGAGATTGTTCGGTCTTTCTTGGTAGGCTCGGTATGTTTACATGAATGGTATGGATGGATGTGCTTGATATGCCGTATGGGATAGTGAGTGTAAATTAACATCGGATGAACGGTATGCCATGGCATGACTAAATTTTGGTATACGCGTTCTGCAGCTTGTATAGCCTCTTTTCCCGTGAAATGACATTCGTGTTTATTGATTGAGTGAGTGAGTGTAAGGGTATCGCCTTGTAAGATACGATGGAGCATATGTGAGAAAATCCATGGATGGGCGTGTTCGGAAATGCTGATGGTTCCGAACTTCGGGATAAATGGCTGAATTTGATGCTGAAATGAACTCAATGTTACGATGTTATTGGAAATGGTTCAATGAAAGCAAGCAAGCGAGCGGCATCCTAACACTTTTCGTACGGTGTATGGTCAATTAGACTGGTTGGTGACTGGGCGCTTTTACTAAAAAGGTTTTGTTCTCACCGAGATTGATAGGATGGTCGATCGTCTCACTCAACTTTCTGTATGGATCGAGTTGGCATCTTACGGAAACGAAGGAAGGTAGGGCGGTAGTATGGCAGTGCATGATCCGACGGGAGACGTTTCCAGTCGAGTAAATGGGTATGGCACAAGGTGTCCTGTTGGTATTGATCTCGTACTTTCTCTGCATCTCCCTGGAAGAAAGGAATTGGATTTGTGTCATAGAGTCGGAAGTGGGTTGGTTGTCCCTAAGGGTGGGTGATTTTCCTACCTTTCTTTCGGTTGGTGAAAGGGTGCGAAGGATGGGCGTTGGAGCGTTTTTGGTGCTGTACAACGCATCCGCATCCAAGATTTCAAGTGTGGGCGCATTGGGCTATTATCGGTGTAGGCATCAAAGGTTAAGGTTGCTTGAATAGTTAGGTCGATGTAATCCAGGGGGAAAAAACTAGCAAGGCACGAGATCATGAGATTCTCTCTGTACAGGTGTGGGTTGCGTGGGAAGGGAAATAAATGGAATAACGTGCTCATTACTTCTTTTAACCATGTTTGCTTTGAAAATTAGATGAAAAGCATCCAGATCCAGATAACGTAAATGCAAGGTCCAACTCCACATATACAGGCATACGCATACTTATACGGTATACACAGCTGTAACAACGATTTCATGGTTAGGATGTATGTGAATGAAGCCGATGTGTACGAACTTACGAAGTACTTACTTCCGAACGGAGTAGGCGATAAGTCAATCTATTTGATCATCGCCATCCTTCGTAGCTTCAATCTAGGATCCCCTTCCATTTTCATTTGTACTCGGGGCGATGAATGGATGAGACATGGTTTTGATACAGTCATCTAACTACGTATTGCAGTGCTGCAATGCTGCGTCGTTTGCATTGTTAGCATTGCCGTTGAACTGTACTAGACATATGTATTTGGCTGAGGGAGGGGTGAAGCGACGATGAAGGGGTAAGGGAAGAATATCTAATTGATGATACTCTGACATGAAAACAGGAAAGCTTGCGTAGTATGCATAGAGGTTAATATATATGAAATACCCATATCAAATAGGTGATCCTAATTTTAAAGAATTCCAATAACATACTCGTCCCTTTCTCCTGCATTCATGTATTGAAGAGACATAGTAATATTTATCGATGTCATTTCATTGTTCCTTATCGATAATACTGACACTGGTGGGTGTGGGGTCACAGGTAGCCTTAGGTATTGGACAACAGGCTCGACAGGTACACCAATGGTATCAATCGAAAGCCTAAATGCCGATGTTCATTGTAGTGAGGTAATCAATGACATGCATTTTGAAACTTCATGAATTGGATTGAATCGATTTGACAATCATGAATTCAAAATTTCAGAGAGAACTATCACGGATAATACAAGTCAGAGGGAGCCGAACCCTTAGGAAGAATCCCAAATAGACCTTTACCATAGTGAATTTTCTCATAGAAATTCCATGAAAGAGGACCCTCTGAATTCGTACATTCCTCAGTAACTTCTGAGCTTATGAGGGGTAGGTAGCTGTTAGAGCGTCATTGCCAAATTATTAATATTCCAGCTTCTAATCTCTATTGTTCCATGATAATTGATCCAAAGACAACACAATACAATTGAAAGAATAAGAATTGATAATCATCGAACAGATGGCCAATTCAGCACCACAAC